GCAAAAAATACTTCAAATGCTTCAATACAGTGTTCTGGGAGGAAAACAGTAATACACAGCATTCTCTTTTGGGGAGAAGGAAGAGTACCTTCTAAGCCCGAATGGTTGACTCCTGGTAACTACTCACTGCACATCAATGGGATACAGAATGCTCTAAGAGGCATCTTTCCAAGTAATTAAGAATGAATAAGAGTTCCCCATTCACAGAAGCGAGCAAGGGTGGTTAAGCATCCTTTGGCAGGCATACAAACCCTCGACTGGCCAACCCGGTTACCTTTGACCAGGGATCCAGGTGAGCCCCGCCCCCGCCCCCTTCTTCCAGCCCATCGCGACCCAAAGAGAAGTGCTAAGCGGGGCACTCACATCTTGCATGGCCCGTGTGCGGTGGTCAGAATTGATCTGGTCCCGGAGCTGAAGAAAGGCAAACGGTGACACAAGACACCGTTAGTCGGAGTTCTGGAGTTGGGAAGGCCGCCCAAGGGCGGAGCTTCTCCGCTCAGGTCTCAGCGGCCCAAGCAGAGAGGCCTCTGGGCGCTGGGCCCGGGGGAAGGTTACCTAGGTCGGAGCTCGGGTAGGGAGCCCCGGGAAGGGGCGGGCGCGGGGCAGGTCTGAGGACCGAAGAAAACTCTCAGAGGTTGAACCCGCGCATGCGGCCCAGCCTCAGGGGTAGCCCCTGCCCAGGCCCCACTCACCGTGGACTTCTTAGTGAGCATCTCTTTAGCCATGACGTCCATGAGCCGTTCCTTCTCCTCGTGATAGCGCCGCTGCTGCTCCAGAATTGTCTCCATCTTCCCTCCTCCGCCGCCGCCTCAAATCAAGCTAGAACACCGACACTGCCGGAAACAACTCCTGCTGCCTTGCGCGCCCGCGTCCCTAAGAGGCGCGTCCGGCGTCACCTAAGTTCCGCGACTGCCGGAAGTTCTTCGGGGACTCGAGGAAAAGTGAGCACCGCAGGAGACCCAGTCAGTGCTATGGAGACGGCTGCAGTGCCCCTGCTGGCCGGGGGTGTGTGGCGCGATGCCGAACGATTTACAGGTGCCTCTAGGGGGCATACAGAAATCCACCAGCCTGGCAGTAAGGAATCTGACCTGGCTTCCCCGGGCTTCCTCGGCCGCGTGGCCGGGCGGTTATGGACCTGGACTGAGTAGTTGAAGAGCATGAATGGGAGCTGGGGAACCGGAACTTGTGTCTCCGGCTCTCAGTGTGACCTGTGACAACGTTTTTTCCTTCTCGGGACATCGGTGTCCTTGTCAGTAAAATGGGGACGATAGCGGGTTTCTTTTCTTCCCTCCTTCCCTCTCTCTTTTTCTTTTTTGATACATGGAAACAACCTAATTGTCTATCAGCAGGGGACTGGTTAAATAAAATATGGTACATTCAAGCAGTAAAATGCTATACAGCTATAAAAAAAAAATGAAGCAAGTCTATATGTCCACTTCTAGGTGGAGAAATGAAAACGTATGTCCGTGTGTTCAGACGTTCATAGCAGCGTACTCATTATCAAGAAAAACAGGACGTAACCTCCAAAAGCCATTAACTGGTAAATGTACAAACCAAATGTGGTGTATCCATACGATGGAATGTTATTCAGCCATAAAGGAATGTTACAGTATGGATGAACCATGAAAACATCATGCTAAGTGAAAGAAGCCAGACACAAAAAACGACATTAGTGTATGTCGGGATGGCAAATCTATAGAGACAGAAAGTAGATGAGCGGTTACCTGCTGCTGAAGGTGAGACCGGAAGTAACAGCAAAAGATGCAAGAAATCTTTTGGAGGTGATAGATATGTTCTAAAATTGGATTGTGGTGATAGTGGCACAAATCTATTAAATTTGCTGAAATTAATTGAACCGTACACTCAAATTGGGTGAATTTTATGGTATGTAACTTATACCTCTATAAAACTGTTTAAAAAATCTGTATGAACTCAGATGGAAATACGGCCACACAGAGTGAAAAAAGCTAGAGGCACAACGGTGTATATAAAAATAAATACACAAAGAGATTATTTCTGGAAGGATATCCAAGTAACAGTAAACCATTGTTGTTTATGAGGAGACAGATTGGAAGATCTGGTATGGTAGGGACGTTTTTCTTTGTATATGTCCAAAGTACAGCATGAAAATTTTTTCATAACATATACATGTATTACTTTTTCAATTTAAACACTCTTT